CAAGGACATGTGTTTGTAAACTGCTAGTTTCTTGCTGCATAAATGCTTGTGATACAATACCTAGGTGCCTTGGGTGATGTTAATGTGTTTAAGGAACCCAGTCTTTCTCCATGCTTGGTTAACTGTGCAAAATTAGATATGGTTTAGTTTCAAAGGGAAAGAAAAGATATACAAACCTTTCTTCTCTTGCTTGTCTTTGCTCCTCTCTTTTGTCTAAATATTCTCGGCTAGCAGAAATATGCAGAACATACAAACAGAGAAGGGAAATAATAGAATTAAGTGCTCAGGAAATTACTCAGAAATTACTAACAGGATATCACGAAGCCCTGCTATTGACGTGAAACACGAAATGAAAAACATTGCAGCTGAAATTTTCTTAAAGACTGTACTTAAAAGCAACAAACAGCAGATTTTCAATAAAACGTAGGATGATAGAAAAACATAACATTGGATTCTCTAAAAAACATTATTAAGCTGGGTGCTAGTGCTTATGCTATAATCGTAGCTACTCACAAGGCTGAGAGAGGATCCCAGTTTGAAGCCAGCCGGGGAGGAAAAGTCTGTAAGGCTTTTATCTACAACTAACCATCAAAAAGCCCAAAGTAGAGCTATGGCTTACATAGTGTAGCTCAAGTCTTAAGCAAAAAAGCTAAGGGACAGTGCCCAGGCTCTGAGTTCAAGTCCCAGTACTGGCACCAAAACAAACAACAACAGCAAAAAAAAAAAAAAACATTGCTGTTAACTACTCTGGGGCATTCATGTAAGTATATGAGGGTAGAAATGATAGCGGCTCAAAAATACCAGGTGCCAATTACAGGCAGGCAGTAACTTTTAGAGATGATGACTATGGGATTGGGCTCCAATAGTTCCTCCAAATTCACCTCAAGATTCCAGTCTAAGTGGGACTACATTCTCTAGGTATTTGGAGTTGCATTCCATAAATTGGACATCCCTTTCTTCAGCCTGGTTCTTCCTTCATACCCATCCCACTTTTGCTTTCAAATGCCAGGACCCCTGGAAACACTTGTGTTCATTCTCCTTTGTTTATATCCATGAATGATACCTAATTTAGTACAATTGTAATGCTTTTCTTTTTCTGCCAGTAAGATTGCAACTCAAATCTAAGTCTAAGACCATGTGATCAGATTAGCTTATGTTTGGCTTTATGTGATGTCATTTTGAAGCAAACTATATTCTGTATATTTAAAATATATTATGGCATATGTGTGAATAGTAAAAATTTATCAGAGTGAATTTCTTGCTATAATTTGCTCTACGTCCTTGTATTCTTTTGTTTTGTTTTGTTGGTTATAGAGCTTGAACTCAGGGCATGGGCACTATACGTGAGCTCTTTTGTTCCAGTCTAGCACTGTACCAGTTTGAGCCGCAGTTCTACTTTCTTTTTTTGACTGGTTAATTGAAGATAAGAGTCTCATGGGGACTTTTCTTCCCTGGCTGACCATGAACCACAGCTTCCTCAGCTAAGATTGTAGGCATGAGCCACTGGTGCCCTGCTAAGTCCTTGAATTCATAAAAGTAAATCATGCAAAAACAAACCTACCTATGTAGTAATTTCTCATAGTACTTCGAACTTCCCTAGAGACTCCAGATATCAAGGTTTTCTACACTGAACTTTGCAATGTAACTTTACACTACCTATCCATGCACAGGTAACGGGATATACAGAGCGAGTTTATCAGAAGGGTTACAGCAGGTTAGGATGAGGAAGAAAAATTCAAAAAGGGCTCAGATTTGTCACCATTTATATTTGTCCCCATTAGAAATAAAATTTCTTATAACCCAGGAAGCTCAAGACCTCATTCAACCAAAGCAACAACAGATAAGGAACAACTCTAAGCTGCTTTACAAAAACCACAGTGAAGCAGTAACATGGATGAGAAGTGGGGCATTCAGGTAATAACAAAAGAGCACCACATAAATAAGCTTTTCCTATTTCTTTTACTAAATCTCTTCTTATTCACATTCTCAGAAATAGAACATCATTAGAACGATTAGGCAATAGGCAGTACCCATGAGCTGTTCTGATGATTAGCATCCTTTCTAGACAAAGGGTCATTTTTCCTAGAATTCTCTGTACTCTTAAATTACAAGTGAGAATCATTTGGAACCAAGAACAGATAGTAAGCAGTTAGAAACATAGCCTCTGAAGAGAGAGTGTCCATCCTACCTGTGTGTGTATGTGTCCATGGGGAGGGGTGTGGAGAAGGATAGGGGAAAAAAGGAGAGAGGGGGGGAGGGAGAGAGAAAGAGAGGGAGAGGGGGGGGAGAGAGAGTGTCCTTTGGGACTCCAATGCCTTGAAGGCTAGATATGTTGGTGCTATTCCAAAATAACAATTCAAGTTTTATTTTGTTTCTAGATTGAACAATTTCTATTGTTCTGTCTTCACATTTACTGGCTTTCCCCCCTATCATGTATATGCTGTAGTTCAGTGCATCTGGTGAATTGTTTTTATTGTTTTTAACTTTTCACTTCAATATATATTCCCATTTGATTCTACCATCTTCAGTTTTCTCTTCCCAAAGGCTCATCTTTTTGTTTCAGGTGTATGTACGCTTACTCCCGAAACACATCTGGAATAGCTACCCTAAATTATTTGATAAATACATCGACATCATTTTAGGCATTTTTTTTTGGGTCCAGTCGTGGAGCCTGAACTCTGGGCCTGGGCGCTGTCCCTCAGCTCTTCAGCTCAAGGCTAGCGCTCTACCACTTGAGCCACAGCACCACTTCTGGCTTTTTTCTTTTTGCTTATGTGGTGCTGAGGAATCGAACCCAGGGCCTCAGGCATGCAAGGCAAGCGCTCTACCACTGAGCCATCTTCCCAGCCCATTTTAGGCATTTTTTGATTATCTTTTCCTTTTGAATTAAAATTGTATGATAAGCCGGTCAGTATTATAGTCCACAAATCTTCAATATCCTGCAATGAGATTGTAAATATTTAAGTTCTATAGAATCTTGATTTGTACCTTGTTTTAGCCAGTTTAATCAACTGGATTAGGTTCAAGCTGTGTCTGTGAGTTCAGACCTCCATGATTGATATGAATTCCACTAGTAGCTCAGCTTTCAACTACTTTTAGTACTAGTCAGGTCAGATTCTGTGTGCACCACCAAAGTGGTGGCCCTGTCTGGCTTTCTTGGTTTCTTTTCCTGTTCACCTAGCCATAAAGCTTGGGCTTTTGATCTACTGTATACTTTTGACAACTGCATTCCATTCAGGGCAGCTTATCAAGAAGATGACTGGTGCTCACAAGGCCAGTGCACTTTTGCTTAAGGGATGGGCTCTCTTTATCCTCTAGCTCTGCTACCACATGGTACATTTGCAACATTGCTTGGAGACTAGAACAAAAGGTGGGAGGCAGGGGAACAGAAGATTTCTGTATTCCTTGATCCTTAGGATTTCTTCTGGCAATGCCTCAGAAAAAATAAGGCTCCTTTTTGGAACTTTTTAAGTCAACATTTGCTATGCTTTGAAGTGCTTTTTTAGTTCATCCCAGGTAATATGGGAGGTAAAAGATAGTGAGTGCTCACAGGCAGAGCTCGGTACTAAGCTCCTTCAAGGCACTTCAATGCTCAGCACTCTGGGTATTCTGTCTATGATTTATTCAGCGGTGATCCAACAGAAGAGATGGGATGGAACAGGCTGATTCCATTTCCCTCAAACTGATACCTTATTTTAAGAAGTTGGGAATGCAAAACTTTAGATGTATGAGCTAATACCTGAATTTTTCACATAGTTCAGTCAAATCCCTACTGCTATTTGCTGATAAACTATGTGAATCGCCCAGAAAGCCATACATAAGAATTGCATTTTATCTGTTCCAAGGATTTAAAAAAAATTTTTAAACAGCTTCTTAAATGGTGCATCCAGGGCTGTTCTGGCAAATCAAGATGAGCCACAAGGTCTGATAGAAATGATGCTGTAGCCAGTTTGCCCACTCTCATGAAAGACTGGGTCACTATTCCACTAATAGACTAGGGATGTTGGCTTTAAGTTATCAGTGGCAGCTAAGCAATCTTATCATTCTCACATTTTAATGCCCTCTACAATTACAAATACTCTGCCTGGCTGCTGGGAGAATAAACCAAGTTATTTAATCTGTAAATTTACATCGACAATACCTTATATCCGGTACTGATTTAACTAGGAGTAATAAATGGATGTATTATTTGTCAAAGAAACAAGAGGTAGAGGTGGGATGAAAAATGAAAAAAAATGTAAAAACTATAGGAGAGAGGGCTGGGAAGATGGAGGAGAAGGTATAGAAAATTAGGAGGGGAAAGAAAAAGTATATGAGAATAGACCTGACAAATGCTTTGCCCTCCATAATGAACAAAGCAAGAGACATGGGAAAGAGAGGGGAGGAAGACAGTCTAGGGAATGAGAAAAGTGAACTGGTGGAAAGAGAAGTAGAGATAAACTGGATTCAATGGAAAAAGACATGTTAAGACATGGAGACAGAGACTTAGAGATCAGAGGACAAAGGGCTAGGAATGATGAACATAATGACCATCCTCACACAGGAGAAAGGACTATTATTTACACACACACACACACACAAACAAACAATTACTACAGGAAGTAAAAACCAAACTAGAAAAGTGGGAAAAACAGGTTCTTTGAGGTGTCCAAGAGGTCATGAATAAAACATGAGGACCTTTAGGGAGAAATGACAAATTATGTTAAGATAATTAGACGTTCTGTCTTCAGGAAGGCCTGTGTAAGACCGTAATGGAGGACTCAAGAACACACAAGTCCCTAATTGTATTTAGTTGTCTGTGCTTCCTGTCATATGCTTAGAGAAAGGCCAAACCAAACAAGATTCAGCCTGTTGCAAGTTAAGCTTATATTTCCTTAACAATACAGGCAGCATTAGAAGCAAAGACAGCAGTTCTCAACCTTTTGACACCAGTATTAATCATACGGGTAAAGTAACATGCTTTATATTGTAACTCACAGTTTAAACCTTAAAAACCTTACTTGAATTTGTTTCTTTCTTCCCGCTCTATTCTCTGCAGCCTCTCTTCTCTTTCCTGTCGCCGTCTCTCTCTCTCTGCTGCCAGTGACTCTTGGTGCTGCCTAAAAGATGACGTGAGAAGACCACTTGATGCCGACCTGAAGATACAACAAGTCAATGATTTAGTTGCATAGTCTGCAATTGTCACTACTAAAGTAGGAATCAGCCTGAGCTTAAAAAACCTATCAATGGTCTGAAAAGTGAAGACAAAGAGGTTTCCTTCTTTATCGAGAAGTATCCAAGATTCATTATTGTTAGTTTTCTTGATAATGGCCATTCTCACTGGGGTGAGGTAGAATTTCAATGTTGCATTAGTTTGACTTTCTTTTATGGCCAGAGATGTTGAACATTTCATACATGTCCATTGGCCATTCTTACTTCTTCCTCTGAGAAGTCTCTCTTTAAACATTTAGCCCATTTATTGATTGGGTTGTTGAGTTTTTGAGGGTTTAATTTTGGGGAGGTTAATTTTTTGATCTCTAAGAATACTTTAGATATGAGGCTCTTGTGTGATATATAGCTGGTAAAAATCTCCCATTCTGTGGGCTTTCTATGTATCTTGTTAGCTATTTTCTTTGCTGTGTAGAAGCTCTTCAGTTTGATGCAATCCCATTTACCTAGTCTTTCTACTACACTGATGGTGGGAATGTAAACTTGTCCACCCACTCTGAAAAGCAGTATGGAGATATCTCAAAAGATTAACATAGAGCTATCTCATGACCCAGCAATCCCATTCCTATTTATCCAACAGAACACAAACAGCACACTAAAGTGACCAGCACAACCATGTTCATTGCAGCATTATTTACCATAGACAAGATATAGAATCAACCCAGATGTCCCTCAGTGGATCAAGAAAATGTGGCATATATTCCTAGTGGAATTCTATTTTGTAGGGAAATGGAAAGACTTGGGAAAAGTTATATTAAGTGAAGTAAGCCAGATCCAAAGAGACATAAGTTGCATGTTTTCCTTCATTTGTAATAGCTCGAATGTGCCTATAAAGCTACAAGTAAACACACTGAGTAAATGTATAATATATATATATATAGAGAGAGAGAGAGAGAAATGATAAATTTCACAGCACTAGACATTGACACATTCAGGCCAAAAGAAGATATGCATAGAAGTGGATCACAATGGCTCAATAGCTATGTACATATGATTATATAAAATAATATTTTATGAAATAAACTGCAAACTTTTTTTGGATTGCTGTTGTTGCTGTTATTGTTTACTTTTCCTTTCATCTTGTTTGTTAGTTTGTATTTGGGGTGGTAAAGGATCACATAAAAGGTAGAACAAAGGGTGAACAAATACAACAGTGGCACTCATTAGACACTATATAGAAAATAAACTGTACATCTTGTGGGTAGGGATAGGAGGGAAAACTGGGAGAGAGGGAGGGAAGAGGAAAGACTTAATTCAAAAAGAATGGTACTGATTATCTGATTCATGTAACTGTAACCCCTTATATATGACTTCTACAATAACAATATTTTTTTAATCTCACATATATAAAAAAAGAAGTATCCAAGAACATGCCACATGTTCAAGGACAGTTCTTGGCTCCTGGTGTCATCACATATATTATCTGGACTGTTTGTTAAGACAGGACAATGGGGAAGGTCAAGGGAGTGAAAGTGGCCATAAGGAACCATGGACATGGAGCAACAGGAAATGTGAAATCAGAGAATGTGTGAAGGGAAAATTGAGTAACTACGTGAAAAATGTAAAAGGGGATTAGCTTGGAGTCTGCTAGGTCTTGAAGGAATAATAAAATCCATCACAGAAAATTGTTGCTTTTACCCACAGGAGGTGAGCACCCAATGCTAAGATACATATATTTTAAGATACATATTTTTTTCAATTTACATATTCAAGGATAGAGTGTGGGCAAAATCTTACTTCAATTCAGTGACAATAAACCTGCATGATGGGTAATACAAGGTTTCTTACTGCCAGAGACTCTACCATAAGCTGTTCTCACTAGAAAACACGAGGCACCTTTGGCTGTCAGAGGTGGCAAGGGACATGGAGGAAACATCCCACTATTCCTGTGATGCTATGTTCCAGAACTGCTGTGTCAGTCCTGGACACTTAGGCAGAGACAGAACTGATTTTTTTCTTCTGAAAGACGTCTAGATCATGCTGTATAACTTGTATCTTCTTTAATCCGCTGCTATTTTGTGAGGTTTGTTTGTTTTTTTGTTTGTTTTTTGGTCAGTTGTGGGGCTTGAACTCCAAGGCTAGGCACTGTCCCTCAGCTCTTCAGCTCAAGGCCAGCACTCTACCACTTGAGCCACAGGCACACCTCTAGTTTTCTGGTGGTTAATTGGAAATAAGAGTCTCATGGACATTCCTGCCCAGACTGGCTTTAAACCATGATCCCCAGATCTCAGCCTCTTGAAAGCTTGTGAGTTTCTTAATGTGACATGCAGCCAGCATAAGGGGGTTTATAATGTTGCACACTGACTGGTAGAAATCAAGGATACACTTATTTAATACATTTTGTCCCACAAATTAATGACATACCCCCCCAAATCAGAGATGATGCTCCTTATAAAATACACACAGATAATTTAAAAAGTGGCCATTAATTCTGAATGAATGCCAAGAATTGGCTTTATATCAGCTACTTTCTTGATCACAAAGCAATTAAATTAAAAATAAATAATAATGAGATAAGAATGAAGAATCCATATAGTTATACATTTTAATGTATTTCTGAATAAATCAGATAGTAGTACACAACTGGAAAATAGTCAAAGAGCATATAAGGCTAGAAGTTATATATCAAGTTTTACAGGATGATTCTAAAATACTAATTAGAAGGAAATGTATTACTTATTTATATGAGAAAAGATACAGTACAATATATAGAGAATATCAACAAAACTAAAAAGTAGTTTACAATTCAAAAATTAGTCAGTACACAATTAATAGCCCTTTTCCATACCAAAGACATACATATAAAATCCTAGACAGTTTAGGAGAAAAAGGTAAAAGAAAAACTTTCCAACTTTTAGAACTCAGAGTTCCAAATTATTTTGTTTTAGGTCAAAAAGGGCAACTATAAAGGAGAGACTTGATAAATGTGCATTATTGAATTTAAATTTTTTGTATAGCTAGGAAGACTATATAAATTAAGAATAAAGAAAAGTAATGACTTTTGAGAAGCTACTTATAACTTGACAACTACAAAGAATTGGTATATAGAATATAAAAACGAATAGTTGCAAATCAGTATGTGAAAGACTTCCCAGTGGAAAAATAAGCCAAGGATAATGGGCATTTCATTGAAGAAGTTAAATAACCAATAAACATATGGTGTTTATTTTCACTGAAAATCAAAGAAAGAGAATGCAAGCCAAACCAACAGTGAAATTCAAGATCCATCTTCTTGAATGTCCCTAACAAATCCTTACAGCAAGTAGAGAGAATTAGAGCAAATCTGCCCTACCCTTACAATGGGCAACAATTACAACATTCCTAAGCTAAATTTCTCTAGGTCTCTGCTACTATACGATCAGCATGTTGAAGTATAGACCCTGGTCCTATAAATCCTGTTACTGGAAAACTTTTCCAAGCATAATACAAATGCTGGACTGCATTTAACCATCCATACACAGAGGAAGAACTCTCAAAATATCACTGAAAAACAGAATGCCAAATTTCAAGCTAGTAAAACAAATGATTTTCTTTATAATGGCTTGTTAATATTTTTGTGTTTTATATTAAGTTCTTCAGAAAAATGCCCACAATCCTTGTAATTTGTCACAATGGTTATGTTTTCTGGTTTGGGGACCAGCTATCACATAAAGAGAATGAGAAAAAGATTTGAAATGTGAAAACTTCCATGCAACTGGTCATTTAATTTCTCTGAGCCACATTAAATTGTTTAGAAAATGGGGTTAATCACACTTCCAATTTATGAGGCTTAAATGAGAGTATATGTATGGATTATCTTAAACAGCATTTGGGCCTATGGTAGGAATTCAATACATATCTGTTTTTTTCTTTTCTGGTTATTGAAATTACGGTTGGCTTTACTTTTAATTGAAATTTTATTGTAAAGATGATGTACAGAGGGGTTACAGTTACATAAGTAGGGTAGTGAGTAAATTTCCTTTTTTATGTTACTCCCTTCTTCATTTTCTCCCACCTTTTCCCCTTCTGACCCCTTTCCCCACCTTAAGGTAGTATAGTTCATTTCCAACATAGTGTCTGGTAAGTATCACTGCTGAATTGGCTCACCTTTTGTCCTATCCTTTCTGTGATTCCCTTTCCCCTCCCCAAATCAGATAACCTTATATACAAGACAAAAGGGACAGAAATCCAAAACAATAACAGAAGGGAACAAACAAAAAAGAACTACAAACAATTAAAACTTCTTGTTTTCATTTCTTGGTCTCATTTCAATAAACATCTACACAGGGAATCTAAAAATCTGCAGGAGTTGGGGATGTAAAGAGGGCTGTACTGCAGTCCCTCAGATCAGGTCCAGGGAACAACACTGAGAATTTCCAGCTGGCAAGCTCCAGTGGCTAGGGTTCAGTCTGATCTCCCAGCATGGGTATCGCTGGGGCAGTCATCAGAAAAGAGTGTGACCCCAGAATGCAACTGGAAAGCTCAAATCATCTGAAGATACCTTGATGGTAGGTATAACTAAGTGAAGCCATACAGAACTGCTGAGAGAGAGAGGCCAGAGAGGGAGAGTTTATAAGAGAGCAGTTGATGTGTTCTGAGCAGCAGAATTGACTATATTTAGCCTTTGCCTTATAAAGTCTCAAAGTCACCTGCCGAGTCCCATCTGATGAAAGCCTCCTTCTTTGTGACATCTGGAACAGGAGGCCTGTTTGGATGGGGCATGACTGGTAAGAGTAGTTCATGTTTATATAGATGGTAATATGTTTCAGTTATGTTATATATAGCAACACCTTTAATCCATACAATTACTAGAACTAAGTTCTCTATTGTCCTTTCCTTTAGTGATACAGAGAAGTTACACTGACAATTTACCAGCACTAGGCTTTAAAACTAGAGCCCATGTTGACTAAAATCCCTATATCCCTTCTCCATAACACTGGTACTTGGC